ATAGATAGATAGATAGATAGATAGATAGATAGATAGATAGATAGATAGACAGACGATAGACAGGCAGACAGATGACAGGTAAAGAGAAAGAGATGATAGATAGATAGAGATAAGGCAGGCAGGCAGGCAGACGAGAGGGAGGAAGGGAGAGAGAGAGAGAGATGATAGATAGATAGATAGATGAGAGTGGGGGAGAGAGAGATGATAGATTACATACATACATATATACATATACATACACATACACAGGGTGGGATTCTACCTGTTCAGACCAGTTCTATAGAACTGGTTGTTACGATTCTGCGCAGTTCGGAGAACCAGCAAATCCCACCACAGGCTGGCCCCTCCCCTCCTACTCACTCCTTACCTGTCATGCACATCATCCAACTTGCCTGCCTTGTGCCTTCACCTCACATTTAGTAAGTTGCTATTTTTCCTTTTTTCTCCCTACCATCGCTGTTCCGACTATCAGCTGTGATATTTAGATTAGTTAGAAAGCAGGAAATTGTTGGATTTCTTGCTTTCTAGTTAATCTAAAAGCAGAGCTGAACCTTCCTTAGGACTGAAGCTTCTATTTTTCAGTGCAGACTCAGGTAGCAGATTGCAGAAAGATAGATCTCTGGGTAAATCTTTGATTCTGCAAGCAACTCAACCTGTCTGCCTGCTTTGCCTGATTTTGGGTAGTTGCTTTTTTTTATAAAAAATTCAATATTTACATAAATATTTATAATATTTACATACAAGTCATGCTCAGCCAGTCACATGATCACCAAGCCATGTCCCATCGACAAGCCATGCCCATCCAGTCACATGATCACCAAGCCACACCCACAAATTAGGCCACTGAATCCCACTCCTGCACATACACATACGTACGTACATACATACATACATATAGTCATATATGATCAAAATAATAGAGTTGGAAGGGACCTTGGAGGTATTCTAGTCCAATCCCCCTGTGTATACACTGTATATATTAGTTTTCTTAAGTTTTCGCGGGTACTTACATGTATGGTATTCAGCTTTGTTCAGGTATTTTCCCACGTCATTATAGTTGTTCTTTTAAAGTTGTAGCAACATTTCGGCAGAATCTCACCTGCCATCATCAGGCTTCTGTATTGTGTTCGTCTGTGAGTCAGACTTACAGACTTACAAGTCTGACTCACAGACGAACACAATACAGAGGCCTGATGATGGCAGATGAGATTCTGCCGAAACGTTGCTACAACTTTAAAAGCACAGCTATAATGACGTGGGAAAATACCCGAACAAAGCTGAATACCATACTGTATATATTAATTCATACAATTTTGAAGGTTACTATACATCCAAGACCAGAAGCATCTTTTGGACTTCTTGTGCAAAATGGAAAAAAATTGAAATTATGATATATAGGATTGGTATTTAGTAAAGATTTGATTATAACAAAGTGAGTCTTATGTTGTAATTGGCCTGTTGCAGCATTTTGCAATCGCATGACATGGTTTATGTTGCATTGCTGCCACAAACCGGGCTTTTTGGCCAGTTTCTGGCAAAATAAATGCCCCTAGGAATGAATTGATTCACTTAATGACCACTGTGCTCAATGCCGTACCACAAAAAAACCAGTAAAATTGGCTCAATCTTGTGAGTGCCTTGACTTACAATGTTCATGACTTAGAACAGAAATTCTGTCTTCCATTACGGTTATAAGTCAAGGACTATCTGTGTATATATTATTCTTATCTTTTGTTCATGTTTTTCCCTCTGCCTGCTTGCTTTCTAACCTTGTTTTGCCACTGACTGGCTTTTGATCTTTGCTGATGTTTTAATACAGAAGTCCCCAAACTCGGCAACTTTAAGACTTGTGGACCTCAACTCCCAGAATTCTCCAGTATAGCTGGCTGGAGAATTCTGGGAGTTGAAGTCCACAAGTCTTAAAGTTGCCAAGATTGGAGAGCCCTGTTTTAATAAACAAAGAAGCTTTCTTTTTGCTAGCTAATCTGAACAGTTGGGGCCTATGTATTTACTCTCATCCGTATTTAGGGATTGCATGGGAATCAGTGGTAGGATTCAAATTTTTTACTACCGGTTCTGTGGGCATGTCTTGGTGGGCGTGGCAGGGGAAGAATACTGTAAAATATCCAGTCAGAGGTGGGATTTGCTGGTTCTCTGAACTACTCAAAATTTCCGCTACCGGTTCTCCAGAACTGGTCAGAACCTGCTGAATACCACCTCTGGTGGGAATGTACTGGGGGCAAGGTAAGCTGAAAATTAGTAATTTTCCAACAGGCCTAGATCTGCAGAAGGCAGAGGGATTTATAGTCTTTTTAAACACACAGAAGATACCTTACCTTTCCCTGATACTCTCAAGTTATATTTCTCACTTTTAATGAATTTCAAAGCCTGGTGGGATCCCAATACAAAATTATGCATCTTTCTTTCATCACATTCATCAATGAAAATGTGAGGTGTTCTTTTTTAATCATTACACAGTAAACCATTATGTGTATGGCTGCAAATTTGATCTGTGCATTTTTAATGCTGGATTTCCCCTCCCCCCCCCTTAAATTTCCTGCCAGAACAATGAATCAGTGCAGAGTATGCTGGCTGAGGAATTCTGGGAGTTGAAGTCCACAAATCTTAAAGTTGTCAAGTTTGGAGACCTCTGTGTAGTGTCGCTTGCTTAAGCAGGGGGTTCGGCTAGAAGACCTCCAGGGTCCCTAAGTTTTGGTTGTCGTGATAAAAAAAAAAAGAGGTTGAGATTCTAGAAAGCGTGCAGAGAAGAGCAACGGAGATGATTAGGGGACTGGAGACTAAAACATATGAAGAACGGATTCAGGAATTGGGCATGTCTAGTTTAATGAAAAGAGGTGACATAATAGCAGTCTTCCAATACTTGAGGGACTGCCCCAAAGAAGAGGGAGTCAAGCTATTCTCCAAAGCACCTGAAGGCTGGACAAGAAGCAATGGGTGGAAACTAATCAAGGAGAGAAGCAACTTAGAATCAAGAAGAAATTTCCTGACATTTAGAACAATTAACCAGTGGAATGACTTGCCTCTAGAAGTTGTGGGTGCTTCATCCTTGGAAGTTTTTAAGAAGAGACTGGACAGTCACTTGTCTGGAATGGTATAGGGTTTCCTGCTTGAGAGGGTTGGACTAGAAGACCTCCAAGGTCCCTTCCAATTCTGTTATTCTGTTCTGTAATTGGATTAAAAGTGGTTTTGCTGGGTGTTTTCGTGCAATGTTTTATCATAAAGAAACTCACCTGCCGTGGTTCTTTTAAGGCTTCGGCAACCTTATCTATTTCTGAAAATCCAATATTATTCCGCCCCTGCCTTCTGTCTGCCCCCAGCCCCCCAACAACCAGACAACCCATTGGATATTTAAATATGGCTTATGGTTTTTGTCCGGGTGGTTGGAACGGTGTGTCTGTCTCCATTGCTTAGTTACTAGAGGCGCTCAAATACAGCAGGCACACAAAGAAGTGGAAAGAAACAAAACAAAAGACAAACTCTTGAGATCTAGAACTGCAGAAATATTCGCCGCTCAGGTTAGATTTCCCGGGGATCAATCCACTGGCATAGGATCGGGTGGCAAAAAATAAAAATCTGCCTAGAGTAAGTAATCTGTAAATTTTGATTAGGTGACATTGGTGTATCCCTTCGTCTTTTAGATCTGAAATCTCCTTGCTGCTTGCTTCTACTTCTTTCCACTCGGTGTATTTTATTTTAAAACCTGAAGTTTGTAATGATGACCGCACGGAAATACATCGATCAGTGGCTTTGTCTCTTTCCAGAGGCTCCGTGAGAGGTGACGGGTGAAAATTAGGGCTAGGCTCAAAAGCTGACAGGTGGATGGTTTGATTCCCAACCAACAGGACAGGATCATTAAAAGGAAGTAGCAGTCAAAAGTGTTCAGGTCCTAACATTCATCCGATGAGAAATTGGCCATCAACTCTTTCTTGTCAAAATGTGCCCTCCAACTTTGGGCATGAGGGTGTATATATACAGGTAGTCCTTGACTTACAACCATTTGTTTAGTGACCGCTCGAAGTGATAATGACACTGAAAAAAGTGAGTTATGATTGTGTTTCACACTTGTGGCTGTTTCAGCATCCCCACACTCACAGGATCAAAATTGGCAACTGGCTCCTATTTATGACGGTTGCAGTGTCCCAGGGGGGTCATGTGATCCCCTTTTGTGACCGTCTGGCAAGCAAAGTGAAGGGGGAAGCCAGATTCACTTAACAACCGTGTGTTACTAACTTAGCAATTGCAATGATTCACTTAACAATGGTGGCAAGAAAGGTCGTAAAATGGGTCAGAACAACTCACTTTGCAATTGTCTCGTTTAGCCACAGAAATTTTGGACTCAATTGTGGTTGTTAGTCGAGAACTACCTGTATTAGAAAGGGATGTGGCAGCTCAGTGGCTAAGACACTGAGCTTGTCAATCAGGAAGGTCGGCAGTTCAGCCGTTCGAATCCCTAGCACTGTATAATGGAGTGAGCTCCCGTTACTTGTCCCAGCTTCTGCCAACCTAGCAGTTCGAAAGCATGTAAAAATGCAAGTAGAAAAATAGGGAGCCCTTTGGTGGGAAGGGAACAGCGTTCTGTGCACCTTTGGTGTTTAGTCATGCTGGCCACATGACCACGGAGATGTCTTCGGACAGCGCTGGCTCTTTGGCTCTGTAAGCACCGCCCCCTAGAACAGTTGCTTGGCAACTGTTTTATATTTATGATGGTTGCAGGGTCCCGGGGGTCCTGTGATCCCCTTTTGTGGTTTTCCTGACAAGCAAAGTCAATGGGGAAGTCAGATTCACTCAACAACCGTGTTATTAACTTAACAACTGCAGTGATTCGCTTAACAACTATGGCAAAAAAAAAGCTGTAAAATGGGGTAAAACTCGCACTACAAGTCTCACTTAGCAACAGAAGAAATTTTGGACTCTGTTGCCGTCGTAACTTGACGACGCGAACTTGAGGAGTCAAAGCACCCATATGACTGACCTGATATTGCAATCGTAATTGGTTGTTCAGTGAATTAATATGTTTGTATGCTGGAAATCAGCCTATAAACACCGCACATTGCATCACGTGGCACTGAACGCTGCAACCAGTTGTAAAGGTGAACCAGTTGCAAGTGCTCCAAATGGAGTTACGTGAATGCTGCTGTGGGAACTCTGGAACCAGGTCATAAAGATCTTTTCTTGGGGGGGGTGGAGGCATCGCAACTTTAGTTTAGTTTATTGTCATTGCACCTCATACAACGGGATGAAATACCATCTTCAGTATACATTATGACCATGAAAATAAACACAAACACACATCCTTCACATTCTATAGAATTGAATTGAAAACCCCTATATTGCGTTAATATTGCACCGACTATACAGTATGATTCAATTATAGTTAATGTCCTGGGACAGAAGCTGTTTTTCAGCCTGTTTGTCCTTGTTTTTATTATCCTGTACCGTCTGCCAGATGGTAATAGTTAAAAAAAAAAGGGGTGCCCAGGATGAGATGGATCTTTTTTTTTTGAAACAAATTTTATTAATTTTAAAAAACAATACACCAACAAACAAAACATGGAATAATAACATAGGACATCTTTTTCTAAAGAAAACAAATAGAACATCTTATTTAAAGACAGGATAGTTCCAAATTATCACATTTCCATGCCAGCACAGTTTAATATGCATATTCATCTTATCTGTTCAATTTCATATCTTTTCCCAACTTCTCTTTATTTCTCCCTTTCCTTCTATTCAATTATATTTCTTTTGCCTTAAATCGTATATATTCATTATATCCATCTGTCTTATTTAAAATTTCATTATTCTCTTCCAACATTCTTCTAACGTTTTGATAAACAAACAAAACACAAAACATAAATACATAAAACTTCTTTTTGGAAAGCGGCTTACCCCGGGTAACATCTTTTTATACAGACATAAATCAAGTTCATGCTCACTTAATATACTATTTCATATCTTATTTAACATTCTATATTTTCTATATATTTTCTCTCTTCATTCACTCTCTTAATTCTATTTTATTTATTTCATCTCAGTTTAAATAATTATACTTGCATCTTTTGTCCGTTCTCTTTCAATTATCTATTTTTCTTTTCTTTCTAGTACAATATTTCTCCTGTAATCACTGGTTGAAGTATGACAACTTTTTATCTTTCCCCTAAATTTAACGCTTAAAATAATACATACTTTCCATGCTGATTCTGCTTAGTACATTCTAAGTATCACATTTTAGAATAATAAAATAAAGAAAAAAAAAGAGAATTGAGATGGATCTTTGAGAATGTTTTGAGCTTTCTTAAGGCTTTTTCTTTTTTTTCTTTCTGTTCTTTTTGAATAGTTTCTAAGCAAATGTTCATTAATTGAGGACTATCCGTACAACTAATCAGTGGAATGAGTTGCCTCCAGAAATAGTGGATGCACCAACACTGGAAGTTTTTCAGAAGAAATTAGACAACCATTTGTCTGAAATGGTATAGTGTTTCCTGCCTGAGCCTGGGGTTGGACTAGAAGATCTCTAAGGTCCCTTCCAACTCTGTTGTCCCGAAGGGGCTTTTTCAAGAGGCAACTTACTGGACTTCCTTGGTTTTTTTCTTTGGAAGACGTTTTGCTTCCTATCCAAGCTGAAGAAGCTTCTTGGATGAGATTTGAAACTTCTCCAAAGAAAAACCAGAAAGTCCAGTTACAGCTTGAAAAAAGCACCTCTGGGACAACCATGGCCTGGATGACTGAGAATCTCCAGACTTACAACTCTGTTGTTCTGTTACACTCACTGCAGGCCAAAAAGCTTCCTCCTTCAGAGAGATGAAGGCAGCTGCTGTGGGAGTCTCAGGCCAGGATTCCCAGGACCAGCTGAAGCTGCCACGCATTGTTTGGACCAATCTTGTCTTCCAGGTTCCCCAGCGTAAGATCCCATCCGAAGGTAGTGTGTGTGTGCGTGTGTGTGTGTGTGTGTGTGTGTGTGTGTGCAGTTTTCGCTTTGACTGAGCTGTTGTCCCAATTGTTCTCACCCAGGCTTCGTCAAACGTAATGAAACACAAACTTGTTTTAAAAGCAAAACCTATTTTAATGCAATGCGGGGAATTACCTTAATTTCCACCCAGAACTAATCTTAAACAGTTCCCCACGTCTTTCAGTGCTGTGGAATGATGCCCCAAACAGAAGGATTCTAATTAATTATAACAGAAACCAACCGAAGTACCAGAAGAGAACTGACCAGAGTACACAGAGCTTCAAGGAGGACTCAGAATCTATCAAACTACTTTGCTTCCTGCAAAGAGTTCGTCATTGAGGTCTGATTTTTATCCCTGATGGGAGGGGCAATCACCTCCCAGCCTTACTCCCTAGTTGCCCCTTTTATTTCAACAGCTCTTTGCCTTCTAGCAGCTCTGCGCATACGCACACTGGGAACAGGCTCCCCTTGTTCCTCTGCCTTGCTGTTGCCAGACTCTGGAGGCTCTGGAGGTAGTACCCCACTCCCAGATGGTCCTGGCCCCATCCCTGCATTGGATGCAGGATCCTCGTCTGAGTCCTCTCCAGACTCCCTGACTGGAGTGACATTTCAAACTGAAAATAGTGGCTTATGACTGTTTTTCATACTTAACGACCATTGTAGTATTCCCACGGTGACATGATCAAAATTCAGCTGTTTGGCAACCAGCTCCTATTTATGACGGTTGCAGGGTTCCGGGGGGGGTCATGTGATTCCCTTTTGTGACCGTCTGGCAAGCAAAGTGAAGGGGGAAGCCAGATTCACTTAACAACCGTGTGTTACTAACTTAGCAATTGCAATGATTCACTTAACAATGGTGGCAAGAAAGGTGGTAAAATGGGGAAAAACAACTCACTTAGCAGATGTCTCATTTAGCCACAGAAATTTTGGGCTCAGTTGTGGTCATTAGTCAAGAACTACCTGTATTAGAAAGGGATGTGGCGGCTCAGTGGCTAAGACGCTGAGCTTGTCGATCTGGAAGGTCGGCAGTTCAGCCGTTTGAATCCCTAGCTCTGTATAATGGAGTGAGCTCCTGTTACTTGTCCCAGCTTCTGCCAACCTAGTAGTTTGAAAGCACGTTAGAAAATGCAAGTAGAAAAATAGGGACCACCTTGGTGGGAAAGCAACAGTGTTCTGTGCACCTTCGGCGTTTAGTCATTCCAGCCACATGACCATGGAGGCGTCTTTGGACAGCGCTGGCTCTTCGGCTTTGTAACAGAGATGAGCACCGCCCGCTAGAGCCAGAAACGACTAGCACGTATGCGCGAGGGGAACCTTTACCTTTACTTATATTAGCTATTGATTGATATTTTGACACTTTGGTTCATTCTGAGTAGTATGTACAGATGAAAAAGACACCAGCTATGTATCATCTCTGGCCAGATGTGTTGTATATACTCCTTTGTGTATACTCCTTAGCAAAGAACCGTTGTGATATAAATGATGGGGTCTGGATCAAAGGTGGGAAAATCCAAGTTCCAAGTTCCAAGCCATGGAAACTCCTGAGGAATTCATTCCTCCCTACCCACCCCTAATACTGGGATGTTGAAAAACCTCTGCCTTATCAACCTTGCCTGGAATAGAGCGGTAGATAATGGTCCATAATTGGCCTTCATCTAGCAGCAGATTGATTGAGGCTAATAATACAGGTAGCCCTCAACTTACAACAGTTCATTTAGTGATTGTTCAAAGTTATGGCACTGAAAAAAGTGACTTATGACCGTTTTTTACACTAGTGACCATTGCAGCATCCCCATGGTCATGTGACCAAAATTCAGCCGCTTGGCAATAGACTCAGATTTATGACGGTTGCAGTGTCCTGGGATCATGACACCTTTTGATTCTCGAGTCTTGACGAATGTATCTTTTCTTTTATGTACACTGAGAGCATTTGCACCAAGACAAATTCCTTGTGTGTCCAATCACACTTGGCCAATAAGGAATTCTAATTCTAATTCTAATCACATGATCACCTTTTGAGACCTACTGGCAAGCAAAGTCAATGGGGAAGCCAGATTCATTTAACAACCGTGTTACTAACTTAACAACTGAAATGACTCACGTAACTGTGGCACAAAAAGTCGTACTATGGGGCAAAACAATTCTCTAGTCTAGTGAAGAGAAGCAGGGGAGACATGATAACAGTGTGCCGATATTTGAGGGGCTGCCACAGAGAGGAAGGGGTCCAGCTATTTTCCAAAGAACCCGAAGGCCAGACAAGGAATAATGGATGGAAATTGAACAAGGAGAGATTCAGCCTAGAAATAAGGAGAAACTTTCTGTCCGTGGGAACCATCAACCCATGAAACAGAAGTTGCCTTCAGAAGTTGTGGGAGCATCATCACTGGAGGCTTTCAAGAAGAGACTGAACTGCCATCTGTCAGGAATGGTGTAGGGTCTCCTGCTTGGGCGGGGAGTTGGACTAGATGACCTACAAGGTCCCTTCCAACTCTGTTAATCTGTAATCTGGGCCTCAATTGTAGTTGTAAGTCGAGGAGTACCTGTATTGTAGTAATTCTTTAGCGATCAGTCATGGATGATGAGAGTTGAAGACCTAAACATTTAGAGGGTTCCTGCTTACAAAAGGATGATGCAGATAAATAAATAATCCTCTTTCCATCTTCTCTCTCTCTCTCTCTCTCTCTTAATTTCAGTGACAACTAGAAAAAACAGGAGGCAAGAGAGAAATTTAATAGCAGCATCCAAACAAGGTTTCAGGAGTGAAGATGGAATCAGAAACAAAAAGAACAGGGAAGGAAAATGGCCTCCCCACTGGACAGGTTGCAGCCAAGAAAATGCACCAGAAGATGGACAAGTGTCTACACTACCAGGATCCCAAGATATGAATCCACCACTTTTGCCAGCCCCAAAGATCTTGGTCACCTCCGAAAAGCAGCCCCCCCGAAAGATCTTAGTTGACCTTCGACCCCTCCTGGAGAATGTCATCGATCCTGTGGACTCTTGGCCAAAGAAACCATTGGAGAAACAGCTGCAGCAGGAGGAGTGTCCTCCTTCCACCTCTGGTGATTTTGGAGATGAAGGTTGCTTGGAAGGAGGAGGTGAAGATCAGGCTCCCGAAACGCCTGCTGGCTTCCCCAAGGATCGTGGGATTCCCAGAGTTCATATCTTCTTGCCTCCTATTGGAGCCTCCAAGCTCTACAGGAAGAAGATCAAGATCGCCAAAAGAACCACTTGGGCGCCTCCAGGAGGATCAACACAGCTTCGGAAAATCACCTTGCCTTCCATCCAGACTATCCAACCACAAATCCAAATGCCACTTCTCTTCTCCAAGAGTAACCTCCAGAATCATGTTCCACTCCAGGAAAAGAGACCAGCAGAACCAGGAGGACCGGGAGCTCCTTGGGAGCCGGTGGGCGCCTTTGTACTTTGGGGACGGGAGGCAGCAGATCAGTTGTGTTCCCACAAACTGGATGTCTGGGTTGGAGATGGGGATTCCTTGTCTGTCTTGGCCCAGGGCATGGCACAAAGGCAACACAGCCTCATAAGTAAGAAGAGTCCCTTTAGTATCTCCAACTTTGCCCCCAATGTCCAGGTTACCTTTGGCTAGAGAAAAAAACTCTCCCAAGTGGAGGAAATTCAGTCCAAAAACAAAGTACATACAAACTGTAAATAAAAATCCACACAAACCACTTGACAGGGCAGGATAAGGAATTGTAGACTTGAAAGGCCAGCAAAACACACACAGTTGGGAAGATGCCAGGAACACAGATAAGTCTCAACAATAACAAATAATTCACGATTTACTATCAACAGTTTGCTGTGCGCAACTTCCCTTTTCAAACACTGTGTTCCCAGTGGCAGCTAATGAAGGGAATCAGGGCCTTTACCTCCCCTGTAAGCCGTGCAACTCACGTTGCTCCCTTCTCCACTCCTCCCTGCGTGCCCTAGGATGAAGAGGGGGTGAGCCTGGGTCTTCCTCTGAATTCCCTCTGCCTTGTTCTACCTCGCCCCTGCTCTGCCCAGCTGGACTTTGCCCTTCCCCAGTTTCTTCCACAGCCAACAAAGCCACACTCTCACTCCCTGTCAGCAGTCCTCGACTTACGACCACAATCAAGCCCCAAATTTCCATTGCTAAGCGAGCCAGTTGCCGAGGGACCTTTCTGCCACTTTATGACCTTTCTTACTATGGTTGTTAAGTGAATCCCTGCAGATGTTAAGCTAGGAACACGGTTGTTAAGTGAATCTGGCTTCCCCCTTTACTTTGCTTGTCAGAAGGTTGCAAAAAGAGGATAATGGGACCCCTCCCCGGGGACACTGCAATCGTCATAAACATGACTCACTGTATTTTGATCAGACGACTATGGGGATGCTGTAATGGGTGTTAAGCGTGAAAAATGGTCGTAAGCCACCAGTCACAAAGTGAGCACAACTCATTTCCTGACTGCATCACTGAGCGACAAAAGTTCCATTGACAATTGTGGTCATAAGTTGAAGATATGTTGAGGAGGCTCCTGCAAAGATGAGGGGGGCCACCTACTCTTGAAAACAGGGGTCCCCAAACTTGGCCACTTTAAGACTTGTGGACTTCCTGTGGATAGCTGGCTGGAGAATTCTGGGAATTGAAGTCCACAAGTCTTCAAGGGCCCAGGTTTGGGGACCCCTGCTCTAAAGCAACTGAAGGCAGGACGAGAAAGGATGGATGGAAACTAACCAAGGAGAGAAGCAGCCTAGAACTAAGGAGAAATTGCCGAGAGCAAGCAACCAAAATGGGACAGCTCGCCTTCAGAAGTTGTGGGCGCCCCATCGTTGGAGGCTTTCAAAAAGCAACTCGGACAGTCACTTGTCTGAAATGAGATGGAGAGTCCGGCTTGAGCAAGGAGTCTTGGACTAGAAGACCTCCAAGGTCTCTCCCAATTCTATTATTCTCTATACAGGAAGGTAGAACAGCTCTGCTACGTTCGACTCCCTGTATTAGTCAGGGAAAAGGGATTTAAAAATACAGAAGTCCGCTTGGTTTGCCCAGACAAATCCTGCAGCCAACTTTCTGCTTTCCCTTTCCCCAGCCCACGGATTCCTCCCCGGATTTTCAACTTCCCACCCAACTGCTTTTGCAAAAGCTGCAGGAAAGGACAACGAGTAGCAACCATCTGCTGATCGCAAAAGTCTTGCATTCCTTGCGGGAAGAGCTGCTGGGGAGCAATGCATGTCAGTCAGATCAAAGGTAAGAATCGGCCCTTTTCTCCTCCTCCTCCTCCTCCTCCTCAACTCCTCCTCCTCCTCCATCTTTCTGGCACTTTTCTGCAGGCTGAACAGTCATCACATCCGTTTGTCTGAAGCTGTTATTCCAGCAATCTCCTCCAGCCCCATCTTCCATTGCTTATCCTGGACCTGTTGTTCCATTATCCACTGCCTGGCTGGCCCTGGCACACAATGCCCACAGGGGTATGGTCCCCAAAGGGGCGCCTATGGAGATTCTCAACCATCCAGGTCAGGGTTGTCCGGAAGGTGCTTTTCCAAAAAGCAAAGGGACTTTCTTGACTTTAAAAAAAAAACCAAAAAAACCTTTTGCTTCTCATCCAAGAAGCTTCTCCAGTTCTGATGTAGCTCCTCACGGTTCAGTCAGAACTCAAAAAGCTTTTGGGGAGTCAGGGAGAGACTTTTCGCTCAGGCTGGTTGCGTTCCCACAAACTGGGTGTTTGGCTTGGAGGTGGGGGGGGGTCTGTCTTGGGGGACATGGGCAACAGAGGCAGTATCCAGCAGGTTCTGACCAGTCCTGGAGAACCGGTAGCGGAAATTTTGAGTAGTTTGGAGAACTGGCAAATCCCACCTCTGACTGGCCCCGCCCCCATCTATTCTCTGCCTCCCAATGAGTCCCAACTGATCGGCTGGGTCTTCTTTGGTTGCCCTGCACAGGAGAACGGAGCTGGAAAGCAGGCTAGTGGGGTGGGGAGGGAAGGGGGATTTTGCAGTATCCTTCCCCTGCCCCGCCCACCAAGTCACGCCCACAGAACCGGTAGTAAAAGTTTTTGAACGCCACCACTGGTAGGCAATGCAAAGCATTCAGCAAAAAGCCAACAGGAATGGTGGGAAATCCATTGCAGGTAGTCCTCGACTTACGACCACAATTGAGCCCCCAATGTCTGTTGCTAAGCGAGCCGGGTGCTGAGGGACCTTTCTGTCATTTGACAACCTTTCTTGCTACAGTTGTTAAGCGAATCCCTGCAGATGTTACGTTAGGAACACAGTTGTTAAGTTGCTTCTCCATTGACTTTGCTTGTCAGAAGGTCGCAAAATGTGACACACGCACACACACACGGGGACACTGCAACCGTCATAAATATGAGTCAGTTGCCAAACGTCTGAATTTGATCATGTGACTGTGGGGATGCTGCAATGACTGTTAAGGGTGAGAAACGGTCGTAAGCCAGCAGTCGCACGCCCATATTAAGCAGCAAAATGGCTGAATTGGACAGCAAAGTTTCAGGCTGTTTTCACTTCCATTTTTCTATCTTGAGTTTTCGGCAGGAGATAAAACTGAAGCAGCTTCTTGGATGAGAAGCAAAATGTTTTCCAAGGAGAAAAATCGAGGAAGTCCAGTTGCCTTTAGGAACAGCACCTTTGGGATCCTCAAAGACACCCCTAACAGACTTGGAAGGGACCTTGTAGGTCATCTAGTCCAACCCCTTGTCCGATCCGATAGGCCGCTGCAAAAACAGGGAGGCTTTGTGAAATGTGACCCCTTTGTTCTGCTCCAATTTGCAAGGTGGATGGGATGGAATCAGCAAAGGCAAGAACATTATGGGTAGTCCTCGATTTACGACTGGTTACTTAGCAACTGTTTGAATCACAACAGACCTCCCCATGGCTACTATTCACAACCACGATTCAAAGTTTCGACACCTGTCCCCCACACGTGATAATGTTTTTGGATTCTTGGCAACTGGCTCTCATTTACGGCTCTTTGCAGCATCCTCCGGTCACGGGACTGCTCTTGACTTCTGTTTTTGGCCATATTGATGTTTATTTCTGGTTTCCACTGTGGACAGTAGCACTTAGCACTTAGACGTATATACAGCTTCCCAGTGCTTTGCAGCCCACTCTAAGCGGTTTACAGAGTCAGCCTGTTTGCCCCTAACAATCTGGGTCCTCACTTGACCGACCTCGGAAGGACGGAAGGCTGAGTCAGCCTTGAGCCTGGTGGGATTTGAACTGCCAAATTGCAGGCAGACGGCAGTCAACAGAAGTAGCCTGCAATACTGCACTCTGACCGCTGCGCCACCGCGGCTCATTGGATCACAATGGATTCATTTAACATCCACCTCATTCGCTTCACAACCATGGATTCATTTAATGACAGCTGCAAAACAAACAAACCTGGTAGAACAATCAGGTGAGTGGGAGGGGGACCTGCTTAACAACTGGCATGAGTTATGACCGTAATTCAGGGCTCCATTTCAGTTGTAAATCGAGGACTGTGCGTACAGTGAAAAGAATAGGGCTGATTTTATGAATTTCCTCCTACAAATTCTCTCTTCCTCGCCCATGTTTTTTAGGGAAAAACGGAACGACTTCCTGGAGCGTCCTCCGATTCAGTCCTGGAAATATGGCAAAACAGACGTGGGAGAGAAGGCATTTGAGGTCACTGATATGGAGACTGCCAAGAACAGGTTAATTCGATTGATCAGGAATCGCAACAGCTTTCCTCAAGGTACAGGTGTGTTACAGGTGGCCCCAGGACCTTGAGCTGCTACCTTAGAAGAATTCTGTTGGATTAAGACCAAAAAAAAAAAAACAACCCACTCCTTTCAGGGCCTGGATTCCCATAGAAACACATTCAAAGGCTGGGAAGCCATCACCTCTACCAGTTCATACCATCATCATCATTTAACAACCCCATAATCCCTTGTGGGGGTGGAGTCTGGGTGACTGAATGGAGCTAGCAGGGTTTAATGGCCGGATGCCCTTCCTGTCACCAATGCGGAGTTTTGTTCAGCAGATACATTCTTGTCTGCCCAAAGAGAGAAATATTTTAACATACCATTTCCTGCTATAACGAAATATTACAATAATTTGGCTTTGGATGCGCTAATCTCGAAGAATCAAACCTAAATTTCATAGAATGCTGTGGAGCGGAGGTGGTGGTATTCCCAACGATAGGTAGTCCTCGACTTACGACCACGACTGAGTGCCAAATTTATGTTGCTAAGCGAGACAGTTGCTAAGTGAATTTTGCCCCATTTTACACTCTTTCTTGCCACGGTTGTTAACTGAACCACTGCGGTTGTTCGGTTAGTACAGCCTGGGTGGGGCAGTGGTTAGAGTGCAGTACTGCAAGCTATTTCTGCTGCCTGCTGGCTGCCCGCAATTTGGCAGTTCAAATCCCACCAGACTCAGCCTTCCATCCTTCGGAGGTGGGTCAAATGAGGGCCCAGATTGTTGGGGGCAATTATGCTGACTCTGTAAACCGCTTAGAGAGGACTGTACAGCGCTGTGAAGCGGTATATATGTCTTAAGCGCTATTGCTAATAACGTGATTGTGAAGCTGCTCTGGCTTCCCCATTGATTTGGCCTGTCAGGAGATCGCAAAAAGGGGAATCACATGACCCCAGGGACACTGCAACCTTCATAAATACACGCCAGTTGGCAGTGTCCTAATTTTGATCACATGACCATGGGGCTGCTGCAAAGGTCATAAATATGAAAACGGGTCATGGGTCCCTTTTTCCAGTGCTGTTGTATCATCGGACGGACACGAAACGAAGGATTGCAAGTCGAAAACTGCCTGTACATAAAACCAGCCGGTCTGTCTTTCGATGGTCCTGGCTGGGATGAACTCAACAGTGGAGACAGGGTACAGGGGAAAAAGTCCCAACGCAACCATTAAAGGAAGCCATGTGACATCACAGGCAGGCCTGGGATTTCTCTACCCTCCTTTCCTAAGTTTTGGAAAACTTTGGAGACTGTTAAGAACCATTATCGGGCCTATCCTGCGGCACGCAATATGATTCAGGGGTGGCTCCTGCTTCCAAACTGCAGCAGTCCTAGAAAAAGTCACTTAAATCACCAGGAAGACCGTTTCTCCTTTAATACTGCTTTGCGTTCAAGATTTTTCGACGTGTTCTCACGTGGATGAAGCTTTCTTCCTAAGGCCTGAGGAAATAGAGAAAGGTTAGCTAACTATTCAAGTGCATTATATTGGAATTTTGGGGGTTGAAATTACTGGACTTCCCTGAGAAGCTATGAAGGTACAGAGCACTGATGATGTTACCTAGATTGGCAATGAAACGTCTGCAAGGAAACAAGACCAAGGACTCCCCAGTTTAACCCTGAATTACATATATTCTGTTTTATCAAAGTCATCCATGCCTCACCTTCAAAATTCCTTCTAGAAGTTTGCGAGTCACACTCTCTCAGCCCATCACACCCCACCCCACCAGGTAGTTGTTGGATGAGCTACGGTGGCGCAGTGGTTAGAGTGCGGTACTGCAGGCTACTTCTGCTGCCTGCCGGCTGCCTTCAATTTGGCAGTTCAAACCTCACCAGGCTCAAGGCTGACTCGGCCTTCCATCCTCAATGAGGACCCAGACTGTTGGGGGCAAGAGGCTGACTCTGTAAACCGCTTAGAGAGGCCTGCAAAGCACTGTGAAGCGATATGTAAGTCTGCTATTGCTTGAAGGGAAAATAGAAAGGAGTATTAGGTATGTTCAGCGCCTTGAGTTATTTATTCAAAATAATAAAGGCGGGATATAAATAAATAAATAAATAAATGGTATCTACTGATCTACCTTAGAAGATGCCAGGCGTATGTTGCAACCCACAAATTACACAGCTCCTTGGAGGATGCGTACAGCGTTCAAATTTGGTTGAAATGCAACCTAATCAAGAATTGTAAAAGTGGAGGGGGGAGGGACAAGCTGGTTTGGCGATTTCCCCATTAAACAGTCATAATACTTTTTTTTTTTTTAATATTAAGGGTAAACTTGTCTCTGTTTGCCAATTTTTCACAGACCATATTTTGATGTATTTGTTGGGATAAAGTTGAAGGTTGCCAATTTCTCGTGTGGTGGTTTTTTTTTCTAACTGTTTATGGCAGGGGTCCCCAACCACTGGTCTGGGGACCAGTACCGGTCCGTGGAACAATTTCTATCGGGCTGCCAGTTTGCTAGGTGCCGCCATCTTGTTTTGATGAAAAAGTGCTTCCGGTGAGCTTTTCCGGGTAGAAAGCGGCGTTTGGGTGCTGAAAGAATCCTCGCGCCTTAGTTTCATGGGGGGGGGGGGGGGGGCAGCTTCGAACAAAACTAAGGCGCGAGGATTCTTTCAGCATGCATGGCAAGGCGAGCCGAGCGACCATCCCGAAGCCGTCCCGAAGCCCATCGACACAGGTACAAAGGAGGAGTTGAAGGAGGCGGGGAGAAGCGGGGGACGGCTGGCTGGTCGGTTGCTCGGCTCGCCTTGCCATGCGTGCTGATGCTGGTACTGGGCCGCGGATGATTTTGTGATGCTGGTACCGGGCCGCGCCACAAAAAAGGTTGGGGACCACTGGTTATGGCAACGGGCAAAATGGAAGACGGGAAGGCAGAAAAGACAACGGCAGCCCGCAGTGGATCGATGCTCCAGAGAGCATTAGTTTATTAAGAAATATGCTCCGTCCTGGGAAAGCGAGAGAGGCGGGTCCTTCCACAGCCATGTCTGCTTATGTGCTCCAGGTGTAACCGAAGAAGATATCCTCTTGAACTTTGGGTGGCTGAAGGAAGTACAGCTCATCAGCTCTGGGCGCCACCCAGCGTGTGGTATGGTAGACGGACTCCCCCACCTGGGAAAACAGAGAGGGGACAGGTCAGCCAATACACGGGAAGGAAAAGCAGTGGTTTTGGTCCAGTGGTTAAGGTGATAGCTTAGGAACAGGAGATTTAGGCTGGATGACTTTTGGGGCAATCACCAGAGGAGGTTGAGTTCTACTTCTGCCTTAGGCATGAAAACGGGTTTGGGTGATTTTGGACCGATCACCGGGAGACTGTGAGCTGCAATCTTGCTTTAGGCACGAAAGACCGTTGGTTGACGCTTGGGCCAGTCCTTCTGTCTCAGCCAAAACCCACCTCACAGCGTTGTGGTTGTGGGGAAATTGGGGGGAGGAAGGAGGTGTGCTGGCCTCCTTGAGTTATTTATAAATAATAGTAAAGGCAGGATAAAAATCAAATAAATGATTATAATATAGGCAGCAAACGTGAGGACCAGACCCACAGTTTCATCACTGTCTCTGCTCCCGTTTTGGAAGTCTAGCTTGCAAATCAAACAAAATGAAATTCAGCGGTGAAAAAAGTAAGACAAGAAAACCCAAATGCACAGGTACGGTATAAGTGGTACCTGGCTCAATAGTAGTAACTGTGAGAGGGATCTTGGAGTCCTAGCGGACAATCACTTAAATATGAGCCAGCCATGGGCTGCAGCGGCCAAAAAAGCCAACACACTTCTAGGCTGCATAGACAGAAAGGCCGAATCAAGATCACCTGAAGTGTTAATACCACTTTATAAGGCCTTTGTAAGGCCACACTCGGAAGACTGAATCCAGTTTTGGTCGCCACGATGTAACAAACATGTTGAGACTATAGAAAGAGTGCGGAGAACAGCCACAAAGAGGGTTAGGGGACTGGAGGTTAAAACATATGAAGAATGGTTGTAGGAATTGGGTTTGTCTATTTCCACAGAACGGGAAGGGGAGGAGTGTGACACCTAGGTCTGTCACACGCGTGGTTTCCAGTAGGTCTTGTACTCCTGTGATAATCCAATGCCTGAGGATCTGAGGGGGAGCGGAGGCGGTGATGCTCGCGCTGGGGAGCAGCTGCAAATACAGACAGAATTTCGCTCGTTTGCCTCTGCTCCTCTCCAGTTGCATGGCCCGGTTTCTAACAGGCCACGGATCGGTACTGATCCGTGCCCCCTTGCTCCATTAATGTCAGAAGAGAGTAACAGAGTTGGAAGGGACCTTGGAGGTCATCTAGTCCAATCCTCTGCCCAGGCAGGAAACCCTACACCACTTCAGACAAATGGTTATCCAATCTCTTCTTAAAAACTTCCAGTGTTGGAGCATTTACAACTTCTGGAGGCAAATTGTTCCACTGATTTATTGTTCTAACTGTCAGGAAATTTCTCTCTATTTCTAGGTTGCTTCTCTCGTTGATGAGTTTCCACTCATTGCTCCTTGTCCTGCCCTCAGGAGCTTTGGAGAATAGCTTGACTCCCTCTTCTATGGGGCAGATATTGGAAGACCGCTATCACATCTCCCCTAGTCCTTCTTTTCATCAGGCTAGAAGACATACTCAGTTCCTGCAACCGTTCTTCATGTGTTTTAGCCTCCATTCTCCTAATCACCTTTGTGGCTCTTCTCTGCACTCTTTCCAGAGCCTCAACCTCTTTTTTACATCGTGGCGACCAAAACTGGATGCTGAATTCCAAGGGTGGCCTTCCTAAAAGTCTGCAAAAGTACCTCAGGCCACCTGGTCGAAAGAGGGCATTGGGAGTTTTTCCAACCGCCCCCGAATTTACCTAGGGCCACCAGGAAGAATCCCCTCATAAAGAGCCCATATATTATAGCTCCGTAGGGAAAGGCTTCGCAAGAGAGGGGCGGCCAAGGATTCGGAGGTCGGGGGGCGGAGAGAAAAAACTGGGGCAGGGGGTGCAACAGGAGGAAAAAGGAATTCCTTTTATTATAAAATTTGCAAAGATTCAAACCTGCCAGCCAGGGACGTCTTTCATGATCTTGGCTTCCTCATCCAAGTTATAACGCATAAGACGCAGTGTCCTTCAACAGAGAGAGAGAGAGAGAAAGAGGGAGGGAGGGAGGGGGATTGGGGGAGAGAGAGGGAGGGCGACAAGGAGGGAGGGGGAGAGGGAGGGGGAGAGGGAGGAAGGGAAGAGGGAAGGAGGGAGAGAGAAAGGGGGGAGGGGGAGAGGAAGGGGGAGGGGAAGGAGGGAGGGGGAGAGGGAGGGGGATTGGGGAGAGAGAGGGAGAGGGACAAGGAGGGAGGGGGAGAGGGAGGGGGAGGAAGGGGAGAGGGAAGGAGGGAGAGAGAAAGGGAGAGGGAGGGAGGGGGAGAGGGGGGGAGGGAGGGGAGGAGGGAGGGGGGGGAGGGAGAGGGAGGGGGAGAGAGGAAGAGTTAGAAGTAGATAAAGAGAATCAGGATCATCTGGCTCACATACAGGTAGCCTCACTGGTAATTTAGTCTGGCAATTACGGTCATTAGGGTTGCAACAGTTACAAAGTGGCTCACCATAGGACCCCGACTCAATTATATGAACGTTTTCGCAGTGGCCATTAAGAGAACACAGCGGTGGCCATTAAGTGAACGTCTGATCATTACATAAGCCATTGTTCACTATGGATTGGGCTTTGCTGTAAACTGCAAGCAAATGCCAATTTTCTTCCTGGCAAAAAATAATGTTGACAGTGGGACACTGCAAATGGCCACCAATGCAGGCCAGATGCTGAGAGCCCAAAATATGGTCACGTGACTGGGGGGGGGCGAGGAGGAGGGGAGAGAGAACTGATGTTGGAACTTTGAAACCAGGCTGTAAGTCCCTTTTTCAGAGTCTGTTACAGCAGCAATCAGTCGTAAGTTGAGGGCTACCTGTCTATAGAGAGAGAGAGAGAGTGTTTGGGGAGGAATGAAGCATGCTGGGTATTTGGGCAAATGAATTCCTGCCTTTGGCAAAGCGAAGTCATATGGGGCTCCATTCAGAGTGTCAGGAAACCTCTGGCCTGTACATTTTTAATGTGCTGGGGCCACCAGTGCAGGGATTCAAATGTTTTTACTACCAATTCTGTAGGCGTGACTTGGTGGATGTGGCAGGGGAAGAATACTGCAAAATCTCCATTCCCTCCCCACTCCACTAACCTACTTTCCAGTTCTGTTCTCCTGTGCAGGGCAACCAAAGGAGACCCAGCCAATCAGCTGGGACGCGGGAGGCAGAGAATAGATGGGGGCGGGTCCAGTCAGAGGTGGAATTTGCCGGTTCTCTGAACTACTCAAAATTTCTGCTACCGGTTCTCCAGAACTGGTCAGAACCCGCTGGATACCACACCTCTAGGGAGCACCCACAGAATATGATCTTGCACAAACACATAACTTTAAACACCTCACCAAATCCTGCAATAAAGTTAGCCCCTGACTTACAACCATTCGCTCAGTGGCCGCCTGAAGTTGCAACGGCATTGAAGATGGGGACTTACGACCGTTTTGCACACTTAATTATTTGCAAGCAGCCCAAATCACAATTATTTGCAAGCAGCCCCCACTGACTTTGCTTGTCTGAAGCCGGCTGGGAAGGCTACAAATGGTGGTCATATGACCTTGGGACAGGGCAACCGTCATAAACACACGCCAGTTGCCAAGTGCCCAAATTCTGACCACGTGACCAAGGGGATGGTGCAACCGGTCGTGTGAAAACCGCCCACAAGTCACTTTTTTCAATGCCGTTGCAATCTTGAACGGACACTGAATGAACGGCTGTAAGTCAAGGACACGCTGTATTTGAAGAACTCCAAAGTTTCTTGGTGCTTTGGACGTGGGCGACAGTTAAGGACAATAGATCTAATTGGGGGAAGGAGAAATCTTGCTTTCTGCCTAGGTTAATTTTTTTTTTTTTCAACCCTCAGTTGATTTACAGATGGACTTCAACTCCCAGAAATCCTCAGCCAACAGGACTGGCTGGGGTATTCTGGGAGTTGAAGTCCACACATCTTGAAGTTGCCAGAGCTGAGAAACACTGGCTTAGATCAGGGGTCCCCAACCACCGGGCCGCGGACTGGGACTGGTCCGTGGAACATTTCCTACCGGGCCGCCGATTTGCTGGGCGCCGCCACCTTGTTTGACGAGAAAGTGCTTCCGGGTGAGCTTTTCTGGTTGGAAAGCAGCGTTTGGGTCCTGAAGGAATCCTCGCGCCTTAGTTTCATTGAAGCGGGGGGCGGCTTCGAACGAAACTAAGGCGCGAGGATTCTTTCAGCACCCAAGGCAAAGCGAGCCGAGCGACCGTCCCGAAGCCATCCTGAAGCGAAGCCCATCAACAAAGGAGGAGTTGAAGGTGGCGGGGAGAAGCGAGGGACGGCTGGCTGGCCGGTCGCTCGGCTCGCCTTGCCTTGTCATGCGTGCTGATGCCGGTACTGGGCCGCAGATCATTTTGTGATGCCGGTACCGGGCCGTGGCACAAAAAAGGTTGGGGGCCACTGGCTTAGATAACAGGAAAAAGGGGAGGCAAAAATTCCCTCAGCGCCCAGGTCTAGAGAGCTGAACTTACCTGCGGTCGTCCTCAGCCATCATGAGAGGCATCAGGGCTATCCTGGCTTCCAAGTCCTCAAAGGCCAGGTGCCTAGAAAAGGCGGGAAAAAAGAGGGAGGTGACAACAAAAGGAAAGGTCAAAGCTGGTTCCCAGATCTTGTAAAAACACAAGTGGTTTCCCAACCTCAGCGACTTTAGGATATAATGGACCAGGGGTGGGATTCAGCTGGTTCCGCCAAACCGGGGGTTCATCTGACATCTGATTTGGCGAACCAGTAGTTCCTACAATTGCCTGGCCCCTCCCCTCTCAGGAGTCCCCACCTGGCCCATTTTGGATCGCAGGTAACTGCGGCGCCCAGGCGGAGGCTTCGGGAGGGTGAAAAACGGGCCTCCTGGAGGCTCGAGAAAAGCCTCCGCGGCCCAAGAAAGGCAAAAATGGGCTTCCCGGAGAGCCTTTGGAGCCCGAGGAGGGCAAAAACAGGCCCCCTGCGGTCCGTTTTCGCTCCCAGGGTGGTGCAGGCCATGCCCACCCAGCAACTGGGCAGAGAACCGGTTGTTAAATGATTTGAAGCCCACCCCTGATATGGATTCCGATTCTTAGCATGGCGGCTGAAGATTTCTTCTAATGGAAAATCTACCCATAGGAGCTAGGGGACTCTGGGAATTGAAATTCACACATATTAAAGTTACTGGGGTTGGAAAAACCAAGCGACCTCATTCCCCCTTCAGGAAAGAGGAAATAAAATGTGTGGACACCATCCAGGTCCTCTGAGACCTTGGGATTTCTTGTCTCCCCTTCTGGAGAATCTGAGGCGACTACAGCAGAGTCCTCCACCTGATCTCGGCCAAAATGGAGGGATGTCAACGCACAAAATCCCTCCCAGGGTAGTTTAAGGCAGGGGTCTCCAACCTTGGTCCCTTTAAGCCTGGCGGACTTCAACTCCCAGAATTCCCCAGCCACCAAAGCTGGCTGGGGAATTCTGGGAATTGAAGTCCGCCAAGCTTAAAGGGACCAAGGTTGGGGACCCCTGGTTTAAGACACCAGGATGGGAAACAACATGCAGTGCTAAAAGGATAATTGTTTTCCCCTCAGAAAGTTTCAGATTCAAATCCTGGCCTTTCTAAGTTGAAATGAGAAAAAAAAAAACCTGTCTGAGAAGCATAGAAAATACTGCGTTGTAAAAACATCCCAAGTCTATACTTGCGTTCTTCCAATACAACTGCAAATTTATCCAGAAAACCCAGGAAGAAGGAACATTCCTTATCCCAGTTCAAAGCAGGAACCGCAAGCAAGTTCATCCTTCCAAGTTCTTACAGAGTGCCCTGTGGATGCTACATCTATGTCCTCTGCCCTGGAATACTTAACTTCTCCACATAACTGTTTTCATCAATATCTCAAAATTCTCCATATAAAACTTGATCTGTTGATTAAATGTAGATCACTCTGATTTTCTGCAGAAACTGCCTTTGTGAAATACAGGCTGCTACCAAACAACAAACCATGCCAAAGTTTTCTTAATCATGGATTATTAATGAATAAATCGCAATTAGCGGAACCCAGACAAATGTACAGGGAATCCACGACTCACAATCACAATTGAGCCCAAAATTTATGTTGTTAAGTGAGATATTTGTTAAATGACTTCTGCCTCATTTTACAACCTTTCTTGCCGCAGCTGTTAAGTGAATCACTGCAGGTGATAAGTTAGTAACCTGGTTGTTAAGTGAATCTGGTTTCCCAATTGACTTTGCTTGTCAGGAGGCTGCAAAAGATGATAACATACGTTGGGACGTTGCAACTGTCATAAGTAAGAATCAGTTGCCAAACATCCAAATTTGAATGAAGTGATGCTGAAAAGGTCATAACAGTGAAAAATGGTCACAAGTCACCTTTTCCCCCCAGTGCCGTTGTAACTTTGAACGGTCACTAAATGAACTGTTGTAAGTGGAGGACTACTTCTACCGAGCAAAGGCAGCCTGTGGTTGTCATGCATATTTTTGGGGCCAATTAAATGAAGGGAAGGATTGCAAACTTACCTTCTCTCCCAGTTCCACCTGAAAATAACGTAGGTTCCAAAAACAAAAGCTCCAAGTCCAATGGCAAGAAGGCCATAACCTGGAAATAACAAAATGCGATCCATGTGTTTATTAGCAAGTACAAATAACTGTTTGTAACAGTAAAACAAGGAGTAAAAAGATCTCCAAGGGTTGGCTAAGCTTCCAAAGGCCACGAGGACATCTCGATTTTTTTCTTTAGACATGAACTTCAGGGAGATTCCTTGCTTGCTGATTCCACGACCTGATTGCAGTTTTCCATCACGACTATTTTACAGGGCGTCTTCGACTGACAAACACAATTCAGCCCCCTATTTCTGAGAAGTGAGACCGTTGTTAAGTGAGTTTTGCTCAATTTTTTGTGACCATGCTTGCCACAATTAAGTGAATCACTGCACTTGTTAAGTGAGTGACACAGCTGTTAACTGAATCAAGCTTCCGTCGACTTTGTTTATCAGAAGGTCGCAAAAACATGACAGTGCAACCGTCATAAATATGAGGTACAGTAGTAGTCTGAATTTTGATCATGTGACCATGGGGATGCTGCAATGGTTGTAAGCATGAAAAACGGGTCATAAGGCCCTTTTTTCAGTGCCATTGTAACTTTGAACAATCACTAAATGAATGGTTCTAAGTTAAGGACTGCCTATATTTATTTTAGCTGGGCTTTACTCAAGGCAATTAACATACCTAGTATTCCTTCCTCCTATTACTTTCCCCACAACAGCCCTTTGATGTGAACTGGGCTGAGTGTGACTAACTGGCCCAAAGTCACCGAGGCAGCTTTCATGCCTAAAGTAGGACCAGAACTCAACTGTCTCCAGGTTTATAGCCTGGTGTTTTGGCCACTAGACCAGTGGTGGTTAACCTTTTTGGCACCAAGTGCCGAAATGAGTGTGCACGCATGCCGAAAAGGTACCAAGTGCCGAAACACACGTGTGCCCAAAACCAGAAGAGCAGCTCCCTGGTGCGTGCAATGCGTGCCGGCCACCTGGTCTTCCAGTTTCCAACATACATGTGCATGTGACGACCAGCTGGCCAGCATGCACATGCGTGTTGGGGAGCTGCTCTTCCAGTTTCCGGTGCTCCCATGCGAGCAAAGGCCAGCTGGCTGGTGTGCAAGCGTGTGCTGGAACTCTGAAGAGCAACAAGTGATGGCTGGTGTGCCCGGAGAGATGGCTCTGCATGCCACTTCCGGCATGCGTGCCATAAGTTCGCCATCATGGCACCAGACCAAACTGGCTCCTATGTTTTCCCATCTTCTTGACTGTATTATTATCAGTCATGCCTGTGGAACAAAAGCGTATATTCCATATGAACAGATCTAACCAACAAATGGCCTTTCCTTTTCCCAGCCAGCACATTTCCAAATATAACTACAGTCTACCTCAGAAAACAGGTATCTCAGACGATGAGGATACATTCAACAAACCTGCTATATGGAGCTGTTTCGGGGAAAATGTCTGGAGATATTTTGAGAATATTTTTCCCTTCAAAAGGTTAGGTCTTTCCTCTCAGTTATATTAAGGCTATTATTCCTGCTGGCCTTCAGAAAGTAAGTTTGGGGCATTAGCAGGAGGCACTACATCCTGATCCTGGAAAACAATCCCAACTAACACATTCAGCTGCTTTGCAAGGTTGATTTTGAAATGTCATAGACAGGCACTCCACAATTTATGACCACAACTCAGACCAAAGTTTCTGTTGCTAAGTGAGGCGGTTGTTAAATGAGCTTTGCCTTGCCCATTTTATGACCTTTCTTGCTCACAGTTGATAAGTGGATCACTGCAGTTGTTAAGTTAGCAGCCCGGTGGTTAAGTGGACTTGGCTTCCTCATTAACCTAGCTTGTCAGAAGGTCACAAAAAGTGGGACACATCATAAATACAAGCCAGTTGCCAAGTATCTTAATTTTGATCCCATGACCGTGGGGATGCTGCAATGATCATAAGTGTGAAAAACGGTCATAGGCCCCTTTTTTTCAGCACCATTGTAATTTCGAACCGCCACCCAATGAACTGTTGTAAGTCGAGGACTGCCTATATAGGAACCCAGCATGCAGAATCTGCTGAATGGGAAGGATAATAAGAGACCCTCTTCAGAAGCTGCTCAAATGGGGGATCTATGAGTGAAGTCGGTTGAAAGGCTGCGCCCCCTCCCCATTTCCTTTGGGCTCCTATGGAGAACCCCCCAACGCTCACATCCAGATGCTCAGATGTCTTGCAGAACACACCCGACCCCAACCATGGTTTGTTGAATAAATCACGATTGGTTGGGTTGGCAGCAGCAGGCCTTAAGCTGCAAGACAGACAAAGGCTCATCTTACAGGTTGAGCACGTCGTGTGAAGGGTTGGAAAAGCACGGACCCCGCATATCATCACAGACCATGGTGGCTTATTCAAGGCAGCCCTCCTTAGCTTAGGCGAGGGACCCGAGAGCCAGCCACCTCCTGAAGACTCAAAGCACCCCATCTCTCCATCCTCACCAGGGATCCCCCGATAGGGCAATCGCCTCTTATAGTCGATTGGTCCATAACCGCCCGACGGCGGCATGTCCTGCTTCACCTTCCAGGTTCCCGCCGCCATCTTGGAAGCGGGCGGCTTCTTTCCCGACCCAACGCTTCTTACCCCGATCTGCCGCTCGCCACTTGTGGATGACGTAACGCGAGCGCCGCAACGAAAGCCGAGCTCGGCCGAAGACTGGCGGTCACGTGACATGGATTCCGGGGAGGAGGGAGGGGAACTCGGATGACGAGGCTGCTCGTGCGGATCGCGCGCAGGGGGGATTTTTTTTTCGTCCCTCGGTCCCGGAGCGCGCTTGGAAACCCGTTCTTCTTTCTAGCTCCCATCTCCTTGCAGGAAACGTTTATGACAGGGGTCCCCAAACTTGGCAACTTTAAGTCTTCAGCATAGCTGGCTGGAGAATTCTGGGAGTTGAAGTCCACAAGTCTTAGTTGCCAAGTTTGGAGACTTCTGGTTTATGATATGCAGAATGCTAGCATTGAAGGGGTTTTGCAAAGCAGCAATCCGAGGACAGAAAGCTGCCGAACTTTCTTTTTTAAAGGAAGACAAATTAAGGATGAACTCTTAACAGATTAACAGAGTTGGAAGTGTCCTTGTAGGTCATTTTCTAGGGAGATCCTACACCATTTCTGACAGATGGCAGTGATGAAGCTCCCACAACTTCTGAAGACATCTGTTCCATTGGTTGATTGCTCTGTCAGAAAGCTTCTCTTTATTTCCAGGTTGAATCTCTCCTTGTTCAGTTTCCATCCACTATTCCTTGTCTGGCCTACAGGTGCTTTGGAAAATAGCTGGACCCCTTCATCTCTATGGCAGCCCTTCAAATATTGGAAGACTGCCATCATATCTCCCCTGGTCCTTCTCTTCACCAGACTAGCCAGGCTCAGTTCCTGTAACCGTTCTTCATGCTTTAGTCTCCAGTCCCCTAATATCTAATTAGTACAGGTAGTCCTTGACTTAAAAAAGTTTCTTTAGTGACCATTTGAAGTTACAACAGCATTGAGAAGTGACTTAATGACCATTTTTCACACTTCTGTTACAGCATCCCCATGGTCACATGATTTACATTTGGATGCTTGACAACTGACTCAGGTTTATATTGTCCAGGAGTCATTTGATCCCCTTTTGCAACTTTCTGACAAAGTCAATGGGGAAACCAGATTCACTAAACCTTGTTGATAATTTAATAATTGCAACTTAAGGTCTTGAAGAAATCGTTTTGAGGAGGAACAGGATATATGGCTTCAAATTGATTTCAAATTCCTGGAAAGCTGTCACAAAAGCAGCCACAGGAAGCCAGTTTGGGACGCATCCTGTTACTATTGAACAAGTTTTGTTCTACTTATGTTGTTTATAATAGATATAATAGATGGATCCACACATTACATTGAAGTCTGAATCACAGTTAACAAACTATGTGGCTTAATTCAGAAAACACACAAAGCCAAACAAGACTCATTTTGTCTTTGCGTGAATTTGCCTGTATTATGCAGCGAACAACTGGCATGGTCAAATACTTACTTCAAAAGATTAATAATAGAACACAGGATATTTACCTCCTTGCACCCAATACATTATATTCATGCTTTATTTTGCCTTCAGGAGTTAAAACATTCCTTGATTTTCACAGGTTGAATGCACTCACAACCTCTGCAGGCACCTCTGCATCCACTGATTTTGACACTGTTCTGTCAGGAAATTTCTCCTTAGTTCTAAGTTGCTTCTCTCCTTGATTAGTTTCCATCCGTTGCTTCTGCCTTCAGGAGCTTTGGAGAATAGCTTGACTCCCTCTTCTTTGTGGCAGCCCGAGATATCAGAACACTGCTATCATGTCTCCCCTAGTGCTTCTTTTCATTAAACTAGGCATACCCAATTCCAGCAATCGTTCTTCTTCGTATGTTCCAGTCCCCTAATCATCTTTTTTGCTCGTCTCTGCACTCTTTCTAGAGTCTCAACATTTTTACATTGTGGCATTTGTAAAATTCGATATTAGACAACAATCACTACTAAGAATATATTAGTGTCCAAAATTCAGGATCTGACTTGGAAAGCAACAGGCATGTTTTTCCTGATCCTGATTTCCAACCTAGGGATATACTACCTCTGTCCATGGAGGTTCAGCTTAGCTATGATGGCTAGCTAGCAACTCTCTTCAGATTTCCCTGCTCCATTAATCTGTTGTCAGAATAAATGGAACTTTAGGCAGCCATCTAACTTATGCCCTGTATAACAAGTTATTTTTCTATATTGATATTATTGTGGGAATGCCAAGATTGAAAAGCCCATAATCAAATGCCATTAGCAAACGAGGGGGCGGGGAGGGAGGAAGAGAGGAAATAAAATTTATCTGGCTAAATCATGGCTCAGTACAAGTAGTCCTTGACTTAACAACCATTTGTTTAGTAATCAAAGTTATGATGGCATGGAAAAAAATGACTTACAACCGTTTTTCACACTTATGACTGCTACAGCTTCCCCATGTGGTCAAAAATTTGGGTGCTTGGCATCTTACATGTACTTTCGACAGTTGTACTGTCCCAGGGTCATGCGATCACCATCTTCTCAGCCAGCTTCTGACAGGCAATGTCCATGGGGGGAGCCAGATTTGTTTACGTGTAGTGATTTGCTTAACAACTTTGTCAAAAAAAAAAAGATTGTAAAATGGGACAAAACTCACGTAACAACTGTCTTGCCTAGCAGTGGAAAATTTGGGCTCAATTATGGTTGTAAGTCAAGGACCACCCATGCACAACATCAAACTTGACCAAGAATGTAGAATTCTGCAGCAAAAATTATTTCCTGTTCTCTCCCAAAAGTAACTCTAAAGCATTTATTTGTAAAATAAATGAAAAGTGTAAAATACCACCCATTTTGCTACACAGTAAATTTGGAGGAATCTTTGAAATCATTTCCCAGATCTCAGGGAAAAAATATGAAAATCTCACAGCACGCTTCACTTCCTTCCTGTAGAATTCACATTTTATGTTTACAACAGGAGCAAAGTGTCAGGCTACCAGCTCATTCAATTCAGTGTGTTAAGAACAGCTGTCACTACAAACGCTACAATTGCATTGCATGGCACATGAAGTTTTTCAATTGCAAGCTAAGCCTATGTATTTATTTAAAAATTATATGGCTGCCCCCACGTTAGGAATACATCTCTTGAGTGGCTCACAATAAAATCCACGAAATAAAAATTATCTTGGATAACAGAAGTACGCAAGCTTTTAATCCGTTTAGTGCAGTTGTTGTGCTTCAGAGATTTTGATCTTGGATGCAATTATAGTGTTTTTATTATGACTTTTCAGAAACTTCTATTCTCTGCTTTCCACCCAGGTCCATTTCAAAGACAGGTGTGCACTTGTGTCATTAGCAAAACTACATTAATGTTTCTCTTCTAAGCAAGTAAATGAATTGCAGGTGAAGCGGAATCAGAAGAAATAATGACAGTTTTGTCACCACCTTTGTTAATACATAAGAGAGTATATCAGAAAGCTTTGTGTATCATATTCAGCTGTATTTCAAATTTCCTCAATATTCAATGAATATCAAAACATTTTTCTTAGGCATCATCACAGGAGAATATTGCTTGTTTTCTAGAACAGCCTAACCATCTTTTGATGACTATTTGAGCAATATTGAAGTTATAATCCCCCAAATGATGACGTATCAAAGTCTGGTAATTCAACCCGAGGCTTAAAAGATCCAACACAGGAATTGCTTCAAGTTAAAAGATTTATTTTTCTGGACCTCCAAAATTTCCTGGACAATTCCAACCCGATCAAAAAGAGATTTCTGACATGGCTGGGGGTTTTCATCTTTAAAAAAAAAAGAAAGAAAAAAGAAATGGCTTTTGGAAACACAGGTTCGCAACTGTTGGTCAAACTGCTCCAGCTTAAAAACTTCACATGGACAAACCTATCCTTCCTGATTTGTAAGTTAATCCAGCTCCTACGCAAAAAGCAAGGCTAGAATTTTAGAAATGCAAATCTTCTGATTCGCATCCGATCCAAGGCAGACCAATGATGTAAATGTGAAAAACGCCAGAGAAATTGAAGAGTTACGTCTACACTACAGCTTCATACCAGTTTTAAGTCTACTTGACCCATCAGAGAAATCTTGGGGTTAATCTGGAAATGACACAAGTTCTTTAGGAGACTGGAACTCCAATTGTTTATACTGGTGCAAAAAGTCTATATGGAACTGAAGTGCAAGAGAAAAAGAAAACGAACGGTATTAAGGTATCTTAACTATGGGTAGGAAATCAACAAGAATGCTTTTAAAGCTCACTGAGTTCAAACAGAGGTGAGGATGGAGAGTAAAGCAATAGTTTTGATGTACAAACAAAAGTGGACCCCACCACAAACACTGAATTCAGAAGAACTGTGTACAGAAAAATTAAAACCCTATACGTTTGCTATCCATCAGAACTTTAAAACATTATATCTAAATATTCTCAACTTTACAGAAAAGGAAAAAGGGGGAATTAGGAGGAACTTTTTATTAAAATGCAAGAGCTGTCATTGGAACAGGAGCCCTTCCTGATACAGTAACATTTGTAGGTGTGTTCTTAAATTAGGTATTTCACTTGTAGCTAACAAAATACCAGACCCCAGACCCCAAAAGGGTTTGCCTGCACAGTATTAATCCCCTCCCACCCTGCATAT